ACATCGCAGTATCAGCATCATTGTCCCAGATCAATATTACCATATCAGCATCACCCCACGTTTATATACAAATTCCCATAATCTCTGCCAATACGCCATTATACGGTAGCTGTAAGTTAGGAACACGTTCAGTAAGTTCTGTTGTCGTCCGGACGTCAAATACGTCTACATATACGTCAATATGCTTTGGAGATGAGTTCGATATAAAAGTTATACATATGTTCAAAGTACGTTACTCATAGGTTAGAAATTAGTTTTGGGTACACTAGACATTATCTTGACGTATTTTGACTTATGAGTACCTTACTCATTAGTGTGTGAAAGTGTGTCAACGATTGCATAACTTATACCTACAACTTATGGCCCGCCTATAATATTAATAATAATAATAATAATAATGATAATAATAATAATAACAACAACGATAATAATAACAACAACAACAACAACAATAATAATAATAATAATAATAATAATAATAATAATAAAATAATAATAATAATAATAATAATTGTCAATTTATATAGCGCATAATATAAAAAGGGGGATAAATTTTTAAAAGTTTCACCTAGTAAATAAATAAAATGATTATCAACTATATATGTAAGTATACTATTACTATGTTAAGTTTGAATAATTTTATTTTTTTTTCATCTACTTAATTGTTAAATATTTACGGTATTTTCTTGTCCTTATTACCTTCTTTACCTTTTCCTTTCTTTTCTTTCATTCTTTCCACCTGTCTCTCTTTTCCTTTACTTCCTGTAAATTCTTTTTTTACCTTTTCTTGTTAAAAATTACTACATCGATTATTCCACTCTTGATTCAGTTCAGTTCAGTTTTTTTAACTTGCAAATTAAGTTGGGGTAAACAAGTTGATTATGCTACTTCTCGTGCTGCAATGATGCTTGGGTTTATCACCAGATTAGTTGGGAGGACGCAGGGTAACGAGGCATACTGTAGTCTGTACTTAGTAATGTGCCGCCCTTTACTTGATTATAGCATACCAGCTTGGTAGCCATTTCAGGTAGGTCATATAAAATCTATTAAAAGGGTTCAGCACAGATTTTCGAGAGCGTATTGCGGTGGTCCTTGGTACTCTCGTCCTCCTTACTCTGATAGACTCAAGCATCTCCACATCTCACCATTGAATACTCGTTTCCTTTATATTCATCTGTGAACTTTATCGTTAATTGTTTATTTGGATTTAATAATAGGCCTATTAAGTTACCTGACGTCCAAGTTAACTCTAGACACTCTACTTCATTGAAATTTATAGAAAAATTTGCTCGCACCAATGCTTTTAAATACTCCCCTTTTATTCATTTTAATAGGCTCTTTAATTCTCTCCCGGACAATGATGCTCATTATTATTTTCAATTAATCATTTTAAATCACTTAGCCAAGAATATCTCGACAATTATGTCCACATCTTCTGATTGGCTCATTATGTAAGTTCATATTTGTAGTTCTTACTGTTTTTAATGTCATCTTGGATTTATATATACATATATATATATGTATATATATATATATGTGAGTATGTATATATATATATATATATATATATGCATGTGTATGTATA